GCCTGAGGCTGCGGCGCGTATACAGGAAGGCCCGCGGCCGAACACTGAGCGAGGTACTGGTGGTTTAAGCCAGCACTTTCTTTGGGAAAGGGGACACCTTGGGAAGCGCAAAAAGGGGCACCTTGGGAAACACAATATACCAACTTTTGGGGTATCGAGGGGCAAGGTCCCACTTGCAGGGATTTAGAGATTTTGGCCATCTATCTTCGTTATCTGGCGCAAGTTGGACCTACTGACCCCTACCGGTAGCCCCAGTACTATCAGCCACCCACCCCCTCCTTTTTGCTTCTTGACCACCCATCCACCCTGCCATCCATCCAATGGGGAGGCTATAAAAAGAAGAAAAATTGAAGATCACGCTACTGGTTGCCTTTTGGATTTTGCGGGCAACGGTCGCTTGTGAGCCAGCAAATAACAAACTGTTGGTAATTGAATTGGTTGGCTACCTTTTTTTTTTTTTTTTTCGTAGAGCTATGTTCTTCTCTTTTTTTTTTTTTTTAAGCCTTCTCCTCCTCGGGGGCTAGGTCTCACTTACACGAATTAAGCGATATTGACCGTAGATAGCAAAGATCAACGGCCAGAATCTCTTAATCCGTGCAAGTGGGACYTTKCCCCGGGGGACASCCATATATWTTTCTCKCAMCTCACATAYCTTTCTTCTCTCAATKTCACCTCACACTACCTACACATTAAAWAAAAGCAAGAACAAARTWMAAAAAAAAAAAAAAAAAAAAAAAAAGCAARAACAAAACCGGAAAAGATTCCCCCCAAAAAAGAAAAAGGAAATCCGAAAAAARAAAGTTGGCGACCCCGAGGTCTGTGCATCAGCAGTAATCTGACGGCATTCACGGCCAGAGTCATTGGAAGAAAGGACTGCCAAAGGTGCCGGGCAGGGCAGGTGCGGCACTCCTTGCTCCCGAATACAACGCATATAACAATCCAGGAAATAAAGGTAATGGATTAAAGCCAAGTGTCTGGTCCGATCCATCAGGGCCCCGTTTGAGCTCTTTCACAACTCCTCAATCCACACACATGACATCAGACATCCAACATGTGAAAGGCTGTGAGGTGCTGACACGTGGCAATTATTGCCCGTGCCGCTCTTCGCGTTAGTTGGGCCATCTACAGTTCCACGTCATTCAGGAGGGAAGGCTTGATTGATTATTCGTTGGAATAGCAAACACAGAGAGAGAGAGAGAGAGAGAGAGAGAGAGAGAGAGAGAGAGAGAGAGAGAGAGAGAGAGATCCATGTATGAAAAGAGCGCGAGTGCGGATTGGTACCCACGTCTGCTGACGTGGCGGTAAGGATAAGATTTTATCCATTTCCGCGGGGGGGAGGTGGTGAGGTCCCGACTTTTGGTCTGGATCCTGAGGTTGAAACCAGGGTCGGGACCAAGGTCGGGCAAAGGGACGGGGCCAGCGGCGCCGCAGGACCAAGTTGTGGGCCGTCGGGTTCGACGTCGGGATCCCGGCGGCAGGCTGTAGGAAGCAAGCAGTGGCCGCCATGGCTACCCTAGCGATGGGGGCCATCGGCTTGGAGGCCGGGATGGTCTTGCCGGGTTGTGCCACGTGGCAGAAGAGGATCCGCGACGGAGAGGAGAGCGGGGCTATGGCGTCGTCTACCGTGGGCAACACGTGTGCGAGCGACAGGTGTCAGCTCCGAGGCTCGACGGCTATGGTTGCCACATGTCCCAGCAGGATCTCTACCTCTGCCTCCATCTCTGTTTGCAGCCGACGATTGATCCCCGCTCGCCTTCACACCAACTTCCACTCCCGTAGAGACATGTGTCACTGCCTGGCGAACAGCAAGGAAAGGCGGAAGGCAGCTCCCGTCTGGAGGTCCACCATAGCCGGGCAAGGAGCGTCGGCATCGACGAGTACCGGTGAGTCAGTGAGCGCAAGAAAGACTCGTTGTCTTCCTCCATCCCTCCCTCCCTCCCTCCCTCCCTTTTCCACCCTTTTCCCATTCTGACGTTGTAGACTCCCTGAGGTTCGGACCGGTTTGTCTGTCTATGGCCAAGCTCAGGGGGGGGGGAGGCGGAAGAGGAAGGATGGAGGAGGCTCCCTCCCTCCCTCCCTCCCTCCCTTCCTCCCTCCCTTCGGCCATCTCGCTTCCGGCATTTTTCCATTCTGACCTTTTTGTTTTTTCCTTCTTCTTTCTTAAATAGTGTGCAGTCCCGCGTCCATTCTGACCTTTTTTCCCCCCTCCATCTCGCAAGAATGTGCATGGTTTATCATCCATTCTGACCTTCTTTCTTAAAATAGTGTGCAGTCCCGCTTCTGGCAGATATGGGTATGCCGGCAGCGTTAGATCATCCATCACCCGCGGTAGCGAACCTGGGGATCAAGCCGGGGCCGGGGCCGGGATCAAGCTTGACAAAAGGCAAAAAAAAAACCAAAAAAAAAACCAAGAAAGAAAGATATTTGCCTCCCACACACGTGGAAAGTGATTTGGTGCAGCATTCGACTCATGCATGCAACATAGCTGTTCACTCAACATGAACACAGTGATAAGAAAAAACATTTTCTTTCATCGATCGCAAACTCGTACATGGAAAATGCCGACAGAAAGATTCTCGACGCAACAGCACCGTGACATTCCCAGGCACGCACGTACACGCGCGAGAGACGCGAAAACGCCCTACAGGGCCTACACACGCGCTACGCCTCCCACACACGTGGCGGTGCCCGAAATGCATTTCTTGATCAAACAACGGAACGCAGCCTGGGCCCGAAAATTGTTCTGTCGTCCTTCGGGACATCAAAGCCGTTAAAACTGGAGCGATGCAGGAAAGAGAAGACTAATTGATTAATTAATTAATTAAGTAAGGATGGATGGCCCGTGCAAGCAAGGATGACACGCATAAATCTAGAAATGGTCCAAATTTGTATTGAAAAAAAAAAAAAATCAATAACGAGCAACCAACAAAAAAAACAAAACGAGCAACCACTGCGCTTCTATTCTGTCATTCTCTCTCCTCTCACGAGCTTCCTCGGCTTCCCGGGCAGACATCGAGCCAACTCAACCATTCACTTGATCCTCCTCCCTCTCTCTCTCTCTCTCTCTCTCTCTCTCTCTCTCACACACACACACACACACACACACACACACACTCACACACACACACACACTGTGTGCCACACACGCATACACGTGCAGCAATACACACTCATTCACAGACAATAGAGTCAGAGACACGCGGCTCCCGCGTGCGCATAAGAGACACACGCGTAGAGAGAGAGAGAGAGAGAGAGAGAGAGAGAGAGAGAGAGAGAGAGAGAGAGAGAGAGAGAGAGAGAGAGAGAGAGAGAGGCGTTTACTAGACGGTACGGCCCAGCAGTTGCTGGGTATCAACAGAACTGTCAGCCTTAACTTTGCTTTGAGCTATGTTCCACAGATGCTCGTGGCGTTAAAGCAGTCGCTGGGAATGAATAGGACAGCCTAAACTTTGCCATCATTGTCTGTAGGAATGCAAATCAGTGAACAGCACCTTCAAGCACGTTACAGCGATACGTATAGATATACCCATAGACATACCTATAGACAATGCCTATAGACAAAATACCTATTGACATAATGACACAATGAGTACACAATGATGACACAATGATGGCACAATGCTGACGCAATTATGGCACAACGATGAGAGATTGCGAGTGATCACAAAGCTGTTAGAAATGCTCGAGATAGTCCAGTTGATGTAGCTCAGTGGTTAGAGCACAGGTTGGAAATGCGCATTGTGGTATGAGGTTGCGGGTTCAAATCCGCAGCCTTGCGCATGGACACTGGCAGGGCGTTAGAATGACGCATGGGTGGACACATACCCCTTGGGATGACGCAGGTTAGCTATTGCAGACACTGCCTGCACACCACCCAAGGGTTGTTCATGGTGTTGTATGTTGGTTCTGGGTTCAACATGGGTTGCTTGGGGGTGTTGGTCTTGGGTGTTCTGTTGATCTCCCCAGTCTGGCATATCACACGTTCATGCCATTTCCGTTAGTCATTCACATGGTAGAGTCATTCGATTACACGTTACAAGGTCACGGGGTTGAGCTTGGTTCGGACCTTGGGGGGGTCCTTGTCCAGCTTACCCCGTTCTCTCTTCGATATACACACATAATGCTGCCTATACATCTTGATACATTGATTCACAGAGCACACACAGCCTTCGGGCATATATACACAGCTTGCAACTTATACATGGCCTTCTTTTTTTTTTTTTTTTTTTACAATGTTCTGGATTATTAAACGGGCCCAGTGCCCAAGGCTGATATTACCAATAAGGGCTGATATTACCAATAAGAAGATTGAGGCCGGGGTCCTCACAGTCGAACACATGCTGAGAACCGGGCTCAGCTTCCCTCATATGATGATAATGATAATGATGATGATGATGATGAATTTCTTTGTAAACTGTGAGATAATCATACTAATGATGATGATGCTAAAGATGATGATGATTAGTATAGAAAAAATATAAAAGACTATGCTATATCAGCAATTCTGGTCTCCTAATCCTGGAACAACTCCTAGCCCTCCCTATACCAGGACATTACATCTCAGAGACAATGCCATCCTAACCAACATCAAMCATAGCTGACCTGTTCTCGCCACCTAGACTATCCCTGGACCCATAGGTTGTCAAGGCAGCCCCCCCCGGTTCGCCACTGGATTGCCTTCCTCCCTCAGCAAATCCCCAGATCTCTCTACAAGGCCTCACACTCCTGCCATTTGCAGGTTACAGGGCAACGCCCCAGCTCCGGCCAGCGTCGTTCTGGCATCGGCAAACCAGGAGCGCCGAACCAAGCAACTCTGCAGATATCAGTCCAGATTCGATCGTCTCTGAAATCCTATATCCCGAATGAGGAAGAAGGCCAGATGCCGCCAAAAGTTACAGAACACCAAAAAGCTTGATATAACATGATTGAGAACTATGGAATTCTTTTTTTTTTTTTTTTGAATAAAGAAGAAAAGCAGAAGCCGCTAAAAAATATTCAAAACCAGCAAGCCCCCTTTTTTTTTTGGATCCACTAGCTTCCCCCAGACTAGACTCAGCACTCCCAAGACACCTCAACCTGCCCAATACCTGCCATCGCTGTTGTGTACTCACTACCAAAGCTATCCCCGGCTCAAGGGTTGCCTTGACAATACCTCCTAGTTTGCCACTGGATTGCCTTCCACCCTCGACCATCCCCAGATCTCTCTACCAGGCCTCATGCTCCTGCTACAAAACAGGTCACAGGGCAAACACCCCAGCACCGGCCAGAGTCGTTCTGGCATCGGCCAACCAAGAGCTCAAAACACGGCTTACTCTAGCAGGCGCCAAACAAGATGCAGCTATCCCTGAAATCCTGTTATAAAGAATAGAAGAAACCAGCTGTCACCTACGGAAGTGTCACACCCAGGTAAGAATTTCCTCCCCCTCTCCTCTGTTACATGCTGCGCGTGCACACGCGGGCCATTTTGCAGGCCCGACGTCCGTCAGGCCAAAAGCCTGAATTTCAGGCCGAAAGCCTGTGATCCAGGGCTTACAGGCCCCATGTCGGATCAGGCCGAAAGCCTGAATTCCAGGGCGACAGCCCCTATGTCGTTTCAGACTAAAAACGACAACAGCCTTTTTAGCCTGAAACGAAGGGCCATTTTCGGTCGTTCATCAGAACGACCGGCCCTGAAACTCAGGCACCGAACCAGGGTTTTGGGAACAGACTATTATTAGCCTGTTCCCCACGCCAGCCTCAGCAGCTGCTGCACGCCAGCCTCAACAGGCTGCTGCACGCCAGCCCCTGGCACACTTCGGCATTGGCAAGAGCTGCCTCCTCGGCCTGGCTCGCCCTTCAGCAGTCAGGAGGCTTGTCGAGGTAGTACATAGGGACTTCCCAGGCACTTCCAAGGGAGGCAGTCGGCAGCTGTAGTCTTCAGGATTTGGGAGCAGCACTCTGGAGGGAGCGCTGCAGAGTAGTAGTAGTAGCGTTAGCTAGTAGTCTTCAGCGCTGGGCGCGGTAGGTAGCTGTAGTCTCCAGCGCTGGGCGCCATAGCTAGGATAGTGCTAGAGAGAGAGAGAGATTGGGCGGAGGCCAGAGGTACTTACCTGCAGCGCCGTTGCTCCAGCTTCGTCTTCGAGGTACCTGCAGCACAACGCCAATACCACAGGTCAGTATCTGGCTCGTAACAGTGAGAGAGAGAGTTCTTCTTCTTCCTCTTCTCTGTCCACCATCTCCTCTTCCCCCTCTCAACATCTGACTTCATTGCATCTGCAGACTACGAGAGAAGAGAGACAGAGCTTGGTGACATCGGATCCAGACTCGACTTTTGGGACTTCAGACATGACAACGAGGGATTATTTGGGATTGGTGACAAAGACTTGGTGTTGACGACATTCCCATCTCTCTCCCTCCTTTCGTCTGATCCCTTCCTCTTCGTCTGTGTATGTCTGAACCTGGCGCTTTCTTCCTGTGTACAGCGCCAGGCTCCTTCACACCTGGTGATGGATACGATGCATGTTTGGTCTGAATTCAAACATTGATTGGGCTAGTTATTAGTATTCTAGCATTCTGCTTCGCTACTTTGTACTATGTGAATGAGGTCAGTCCCGGTCAGGTCAGTCTTTGTATCTAAGTCTTTCCTGCGCTATTCAGCACCTTTTGTATGTATGAGAATGCACATTGTTTGTCGAGATTCTACTCGCACCGCATTGTCCATTCAGTCGGTTATTACGTGCATCGCATATCTGTGCATGTAACACCTCCTTCCCACCCTGTCCCTTCGCTGCCTCCGCCGACAGAGAGTGCTGAAATTAGAAGACCTTCCCCGTCAGCCCCAACTTGGAACAGTCCCATCTTACACCCTACAACCCAGAGAAATCCAGTTCCCACCAGAAGTATT